GCAATTGCTGAAGCTTGGGCTCGCCTGGACCGCAAGTTTGACCTTATGTACGCAAAGCGTGCTTTCGTGCACTGGTATGTGGGAGAGGGTAAGTCAATTTCAAAGTCTTAAAGTTAAAGTAATAATTTTGTTAAGCTCCTAGACATAGCGCCTATTTGCTTTAGGTATGGAAGAGGGAGAGTTCAGTGAGGCACGGGAGGATCTCGCTGCTCTTGAGAAGGACTACGAAGAAGTTGGTATTGACTCTGTAGATGGCGAAGGGGGTGACGATGTGGACGAATATTGATCGCTTGGTGGTGTCGGTGTAACTTTTGCAGCGTCATATATAGATCTCATAACTTGTTGTGAGGTCAGATCCGAATGTACTACATTGTAATAGTATTTAATGCGATTGTAGAAAATGCTTACTGTTTGATCTTTAGGGCTTGCACCTATGCTGAATAACTTGTCCAATGTTGTTAATTCTTTCTCTAGTGCAGCCGTTTGAGCAAAAAACTGGGAATCTCACTTTATGGAGAGCCAATTCCTTAGTATTCTCTTGACACTTCCTGCCAGCAACGTTATCCCGTATTGAAATAAAGTAATGCACAAACTTCTCAAATGCATTAACAGTAATACAGAGAAATGATTGCTTGGCGTAGTTTTGCAGATTACTCACTTCTCATTGAATAATTAAGCCTATTTTAGTAAATTAAGGTGTAATAAACACAAAAAGGGAATAAGCTTTCTTTCTAATTTTTTCTTCTTACATCTCATAGTTTGAAGTCTCTTTAGAACTTTTGAAAATGAAAGTAATGCATTCGTTAATATCTTGTTTAGCTCTATGGAACGAGTTAAGGAGTAACGTTATCCGTAATGAAATAAAGTTGTCAGGTATAGGTATATAGTGCTTTTTGAGCTACAAGCTCTCCAGAGAAGAAATAATGTTGGCATAATGAAGCGTTAAAATATAACGGCATCCATAATTGAAAGTTAGTTGATGGAGTAGTGCAAGAAGAGTATTTTATTAGTCGACCATCTGGCGGAAGCAGAATGGTGCAAAAAAAAAACCCATTGTTTCCATTAGTATTGAACTTCATGTCATACCCATGCATTCATTAATATTATAAGAGTAAAAAAAATACTGTCTAAATGATGCTTTGATTTGTTTATGACAAAGATAGTTAAATATTATGAAATCTGTGAAAGACTGACTCTGCTGGTGCTCTTTT